ACACACATGACAAACTCCCACTGATTAAGATGGAATTCAAGAGCTGTTTTCCTCCCATGAAGTTCTTTCTCTGTGAGAAGCATGGTCCTACAGACTGGAGTTCCTTTCATTCTTTATTTTACTTGCGTGTGTGTGTGTGTGTGTGTGTGTGTGTGTGTGTGATGTGAAAAGGGCATACTTGGTACAGAACATGTGTCAGAGGTCAGGGACAGCATCTAGTCAGCCTCAGTTCTCTGATTTGTTCCATGTCATGAGTGCTCTACCTGTTCCTACCTTGGAACAAAGAGGGCTCTTTACTTGGACATCATCTTCCTATCATATTCCAGGATCTAAGAAGCTGTTCCTCAGACATTTTCATGGAGATACTTCCTTTCTGTTATACTATCAGCATTATACTCCTGCTTCCAGCCTGAGAAATTAAAGGAAAGCTAATTTTAAAAAATTAATAATATTATTATTATTATTTGTGGTAGTATCAAAGAGTTCCACAATAGCCCAGAATGGAGTATAACAAAGGTTTATTTATTTGGGAATAAACTCACAGTAAGGATAGCAATCCACAATCCTTTGCATGCACTGGGAACTGGAACCAAATCCAGCAGAAAAAGGAGCTGCACATCCTTTTTGTCTGCACTTATAGTGCATGAGACCACGCCCAAACTGGACGTATCTTATTAGCTGAAGGAGTTCCCACAACAATTATCATTATCATTATTATTATTGATTTTGGGGACAGGGTTTCTCTGTGTAGCCCTAGCTGTCCTGGAAGTCACTATGTAGACCAGACTGACCTTGAACTCACAGATATCTGCTTGCCTCTGCCTCCCAAGTGCTGGGATATAAGGCAGGAGCCACCACAGCCCAGCAATTCTGAATTATTTTATTGGGAGTTTTAAATGTAGATACTTTTTTTTTTTTTTTTTTTTTTTTTTTTTTTTTTTTTTGGTTTTTCGAGACAGGGTTTCTCTGTGGTTTTGGAGCCTGTCCTGGAACTAGCTCTTGTAGACCAGGCTGGTCTTGAACTCACAGAGATCCGCCTGCTGTAGATACTTTTTAAATAAGTGACCAAATATACCTGAGAAGGATAGTGTCTGATGTTTTTCAGATAAACAAGATAACAAAATTGATTTAAATGAAATTACAGTTTGCTCACTAAAACTTTCATACAAACCATTCAACATCCAGAAAATTCAGACACGAGAAAGAATTATAAGCTATGCTATTTTTAAATACTAAAATGTTAAACTTAATAAAATATCCATAGATATAAAGTTCTGATGCCATAGTTGGTGGTACATAATCCTTTACCAATTTTTTATTATTATCTTATTTAAATAGTGCCAAAGCTTTTCTGAATAAGTGTCTTTTTTACTTGGACATGGAATCATAGTGATTGGTAATGTTTTGTTTTGTTTAATTTGATGCTGGGATTGCATCCAGGAGTTCACATATGCTAAACACATGCTGTATTATACCCCAACCCATTTAGTTCCTTTTTTTAAAAGTTGTTTGAAACAGCGTCTTCCTGTATTGCCCAGGCTGACTTCAGCCACAAGGCAGTTCTCCCAGAGGCTGGGATATAGGTGTATGCTATCATTCCTGGCTCCCATTTGGACTCTTTGGGTATCATAGCCTTTTAAAATAAAAACAGACTTAAAAGTTTGGCCAAGTACAATGGTGCATGACTTTACTTCCAACATTCCAGAGGCAGAGGCAGGAGGCTCACCGTGAGTTAAAAGCCAGCCTGATCAGGCCTAGAGAGATGACTCAGTGGTTAAGAGCACTGACTGCTCTTCCAGAGGACCTGGGTTCAATTCCTAGCACCCACATGGCAGCTCACAACTATCTATACTCTAGTTTTAGAGACCTAACACCCATAACAAAACACCAATGTACATAAAATATACATATTTTTTTTTAAAAAAAAGCCAGCCTGGTCTACATAGGTAGCTAAGACCTTAAAAGTGATTATCTAGGCTGGAGAGATGGCTCAGTGGTTAAGAGCATTGCCTGCTCTTCCAAAGGTCCTGAGTTCAATTCCCGGCAACCACATGGTGGCTCACAACCATCTATAATGAGATCTGGTGCCCTCTTCTGGCATGCAGATATACACACAGACAGAATATTGTATACATAATAAATAAATAAATAAATAAAAGTGATTATCTAGTAGAATTTCTGCATTTCACAAACAAAAACACCAATGCCTAGGATATATCATGAGCAGAACCCCACTTTATACCTCATCCATTTGGTGAATCATGTTGTAACCTGAGGGACTGGTCAAGGGAGCATGGGTAGGCTGCTGTCTTATGGTTTTCTATTGCTGTGGAAAGTCACCATGACCATGGCAACTCTTATAAATGAGAACGTTTAACTGAGGGGGCTTGCTTACAGTTTCAAAGGTTCAATCCATTATCATTGTATGGAGCTTGGTAGCAAGCAGGCAGACACTGTGCTAGAGCTGAGAGTCCTACATCTTTACTCAGAGGCAATAGGAAGTTAGCTGAGTATCACACTGCGAGAAGCTTGAACAAAAGAGACCTCAAAGCCCGCCCCAACAGTGATACACTTCCTCCAAAAGGGCCTCACCTCCTAATAGTGCCACTCCCTTTGGAGGCCATTTTCTTTCAATCCACCATAACTGCCCTTCATTTCATTACACTCTAAAAGTTGCCCTCCAACCCCTCCAAAAAATTTGATTACCTTTCTTTTGTTAAAATAATTTATTTAACTTTATTATTTTATGTGTGTTGGTATGAAGGTGTCAGATCCCCTGGAACTGGCATAAGAGACATTTATGAGCTTCCATGTGGGTGATGGGAACTGAACCAGGGTCCCCTAGCAGCCAGTGCTCCTAACTGTTGACCCATCTCTCCAGCCCCCTAGATTACCTTTCTTGAGGTTTTAATTCACTCATATGATGGAGGAAGGTCATTGGTTAATAAAGAAACTGCCTTGGCCCATTTTATTGGTTAGAACATAGGTAGGTGAAGTAAACAGAACAGAACGCTGGGAGGAAGAGGAAGTGAGCTCAGTCTCCACAGCTCTCCTCCCGGGAGTGGGGAGCATGGCATCTCTCTGAGGGGGAGCATGGCGTCTCTCTGAGGCGTTTGCTCCCGAGAGGAGAGCTGTGGAGACTGAGCTCACTTCCTCTTCCTCCCAGCGTTCTGTTCTGTTTACTTCACCTACCTATGTTCTAACCAATAAAATGGGCCAAGGCAGTTCCTTTATTAGCCAATGACCTTCCTCCATCACTCATACAAAAGATAAAAGGTGGACCAATGACTGTGAAAATCCTCCCAGAATACATTATTTTGCCCTTAATAGCAAGTTTGACATGATGAATATTTGGTCATAGAAAGTCTTTTGACTTCCAAGTTCATGTATGTTAGATTCTATACCACTTCTGCTGATACTGACGCACTATGGGGTAAGTCTTGGTCTTTCTGTCTCTGGGGCCTCTTGTGTGGAAACCTGCAGTCCCTCTTCCTGTTGGAGGTGAGTTGAAACTCTACAGGGGAGAACCTTTCTCGGCCTCCTGGCTTCAACTTTCAGCCCTCCCTTCCATTCTCAAATGACTCACATTTTCAAAAAGCTCCTTGTGGATTATATATGAACACAGATTCCCCCACACACGCACAACAATAAAATGACAGTTGGTTTTCATTTTCCTTCAAGGGAGTGCATGAGTTCATAGCTTAACCTTGGTCAAGTGACAAACATGGCAAGCAGCCCAGGAGGCAAAGCTTCCAGAAGAGTTAGAATTCATTGCTCTTGACTTGAGTTGTCATGAGACTAACAAACAAATTGATGCTGTCGCCTTGTGGCACATTTGGCAACACAGATAACCGCCACAGACAGAATAGTGGACGTTAACATATTTTCCCTCTCTGGTAGCAGCACCTAAAGTGATCATTATTCCTCTTGTCTTTTCTGTGAACTTGATAGTTGACTTTCTCTTAGTCATTTGTGGAATACATTGTGTATTTGTTGACCAGGGTTGCTGAAACAAAATACTACCAGCTGGCTGGCTTATGCAACAGAAAGGTATTTTCTCACAGTTCTACAAAATCAAGATGCCAGTAAAGTTGATTTTTTTCCCCCTTTTTCCTGAGGTCCAACTTCTTGACTTGCAGGTGCCCATCCTTCTTTGTGTATGTATATTGTTCTCCTTGTGTGCGTCCCTGTGATGGATTGGGTGAGCAATGTTCCCTAAAGGTTTGAGTTTTTGAAAACTTGGCCCCTGTGTTGGTTTGAATAGAGGAATAGCCCCACATACAATAGGGTTCATATATTTTAATGCTTAAGGAGTGGCATTAGGAGGTATGGTCTTGTTGGAGTGGGTGTGGCCTTGTTGGGTAGGTGTGACTCTGTTGGTGTGTGTTGGAGACCAGCCTAGATAAATATACCTTTTGTCAGGGTAGGAGCATTGGAATTTAGAAATATTAATAAAGAATTCAGGGGCTGAAGAGATGGCTCAGTGGTTAAGAGCACTGACTGCTCTTCCAGAGGACCTGGGTTCAATTACCAGCACCCACATGGCAGCTCACACCTGTCTGAAGATCCGGTTGCAGGGGATATGACACCTTTACACCAATGCACATAAAAAATAAAGTTAAAAAAATGAATTCAAAGACACAAAAATAGTAAGACAGAAAAATGTACAATAGTACTGGAAGGGAGTTCCAGTGAGTACTGAAATTGCCCGCATTTATTTTCCAGTTTGCTTAAAATACCCAGAACCCAAGAGGTAGGAGTAAGATTAAAAAAAAAAACTGCATTAACATGATACAAGGAAATGAACAGACTAGTTGGAAGTCGCAGGCTACATCCATAGTTAAACATTCTGTTGCTAGAACAAAACAAGTCACGCTCGCTCAAGTCATCATGGTGGGCAGACCTGCTGTGTGGTAATTATAGTTGCAGCTTCAAGCAAGTGGCTGGATGGTTTTCGAAAATGATATTATAATGCTGCTGGATTCAACAAACTGGGTTTAATGCGAGGTGATACACTACATGAGACTGAAGATGTGAAAGAAGCCATAAGAAGGCTTCCTGAGCATCTTTATAATGACGGAATGTTTCGAATTAAGAGAGCCCTGGACCTGAGCATGCAGCATCAGATCTTGCCTAAGGAGCAGTGGACAAAATATGAGGAGGACAAATTCTACCTTAAATCCTATCTGAAAGAAGTTATTCGGGAAAGAAAAGAGAAAGAAGACGGGCAAAGAAGTGATCTTGTAGTTGAGATCTGTGGATGTGCCTGGTCTCAGCATATTTTTTTATTTTTATTTTTTTTATTTTTTATTTTTTTTTTTTTTATTTTTCGAGACAGGGTTTCTCCGTAGCTTTTGGTTCCTGTCCTGGAACTAGCTCTTGTAGACCAGGCTGGCCTCGAACTCCCAGAGATCCGCCTGCCTCTGCCTCCCGAGTGCTGGGATTAAAGGCGTGCGCCACCACCGCCCGGCTCTCAGCATATTTTTATGAAGTTGTTTCAGCCTGAATCACAGTTTAAGAATTATTTGTTCTTCTGATACCTCACTTTAAATAAATGTGTATTGAAGCCAAAAAAAAAAAACCAACAAAACAAAACAAGTCACACTCACACAGCGTTTCTCAGCCGGGTGGTGGTGGTACATGCCTTTAATCCCAGCACTCGGGAGGCAGAGGCTGGTGGATCTCTGTGAGTTTTAGGCCAGCCTAGTCTACAAAAGTGAGTTCCAGGACAGGTTCCAAACCTACAAAGAAACCCTGTCTCGAAAAACAAAAAGAAAACAAAACAAAAAAACAAAACATAAAAAAGACAGGGTTTCTCTGTGTGACAGTCATAGTTGTCCTGGAACTAGCTATTGTAGACCAGGCTGGCCTTGAACTCACAGAGATCCACTTGCCTCTATCTCCCAAGTACTGGGATTAAAATGCATCATTTTGTTGTTGTTGTTGTTTGTTTGTTTGTTTTGTTTTGTTTTTCAAAACATGGTATCACTATATACCTCTAGCTGTCCTGGAACTCACTATGTAGACCAGGCTGGTCTTGAACTCACAGAGATTACCTACCTCTGCCTCCTGAGTGCTAGGATTAAGGGTGTGCACCAGGCTGCCTGACAAGCAGCACTATTTATATTAACGAAAGCAAACAATTACAGCCCAGATTCCAAGTATCAAATGAAATGCTGTGTAGGCCTGACAAGTATCCCAATTACATTGTTCATGGAAAAGGAAGGTTACTGTCCAGTATTGTTGAGCACTCTTCTAATTCTAGCATTGGGGTGTTTAATGCAGGAAGGTCATGAGTTTGAAGGCAGCCTGGACTATATAGCAGGTTCAGGCCACCCCATGATGAATAATAAGCCCCAGGTCACATATACGGGTGGTCTCTCTTATTCTTTCAGTTCACATGACTGAGGGGAGGACTCACCCAACTGGTGACTGGCATTACACTACAGGACTGGGATCAGAAACTCTCCTGAGAGAGCTGGGAGAAAGAATGAAAGGAAAGGGGTTCGTATCCACTCAGGACCCCCGTGACCAAGTTCTCAGCATGAAGGAGATTTATTTCTCCAGAAGGACAAAGGGCAGGGGATATGGGACAAATACAGGAGATAGAGGAAGAGGGAGAAGGAGAAGGGAGCAATGGAGTGGGGAAGGGATATTGGTCCTGGAGGACAAAGGACTGCATCTGGATGGGGAGGAGACAGATGTGGCCCATAGACAAATGTCAGTTTATAAAGGTACAAGGGGAAACCCTGTGTTAGGATGTGTTTAATTTTAGTTGGGCATGTGAGCTAAGTGAGCCAAAGGGGACTTTTGATTGCCAGACTTCAATACTTTAATAGCTGAACCTTGGTAGTCAAACTCAGGAGGAAGAAGTGGGCGAATAAGGGACTAGACCTTGGGGGCAGCTTTAGGAATGCAATCTAATGGTTTTTACCAAGGCAACAGGAATGGGGGAGAAGGGCAAGGCCTGCCAGAGCCGTGCTTATTACACTCAAGTCATGAGAGTCCCTTCAGAGAGGAACCAGGTCCCTTCCCCAGGATGGGTTGACTCAAGCAGCACCTTAGTTTGCACCTGTGTGTGTGTCCCTGGAGACTTAATACTTCCCTTCTATCCTTCGCTGCAGAAGTGGGAGGGAAGGGACCTTTCCCACTTTGGTAGGCCACAGCCCTGAACTCTTCTTTATACCGGGTATCTATCTACTGTGGGATAGGCTGTTTCATGGCTCTGCTCTTTCCAACACGACTAGTTAATCTTTACTTTCAACTCTTGGACTTTGCTTTCCTTCTTTAATCGTTCAGTCCTGGTGACTAAGAAAGATATCATTTCTGGTGAAAACATTCACTTTGCCTCCCAATGACCTAATAATCATATCCCCACCATCCCCACCACCACCACCCACTGCCCATGCAACAGGACATTGCTCTCACCCTGTGGATATCAGGCTTTGCCATGTGACTTGCTTTGGGGCTACAGAAGAACAGCTGTATGGGTTGCTGGCAGCAGCAAGAGCCATGTGCTCCCTTTGTCCTGTCAGAGCCGAGCATTACTGCCCTCCATACCCTCTACTCTCACACCCTGGCTTGACCTCTGTTCCACACCTACCTTTACATGTACTCGTGCCCACTTTAGATAGTGTCTTGTGTGTGCCAGCCTCCAGAATCCTCCTTGTAGACAGACTTTCCCCTCTTCCAGGATCTCTGAATCTACGTATAGACCACAGTGTTAGTGGTCAGACTTTGAAGGCGAGGACCACACCATGGACATTGTTGTATGACAAAACTTTTCCTGGGGAGTCGCAACACACACGTTTACTTACCCTAGGTAGGGAGTGCGTGACAGACAAGAGTACAGATATCAAATTCTAACTTTGTGAGCCTCGGGTTTACTGGGGTTCCTTACAGGAGTATGGGTTAGGGGTTCCTTACAGGAACAGAAATGACAGGCAGCTCAAGAGGTTAAAGGGTGTCCTTTCCTGGTGCCTAGGTTGGTCTAAACCTCTTCCAGGCAGCTGGTCTGCTTTCAAGTCTTCCTTGTAGCTTTTCTCCTCTGAGTGAGCTTCATGTCATTTGAGAGGGACTCTCACCTTTATTGTTTATTCTGGCAGGGAAGGGCCTAGTGAATTTACTCAGTTTCAGGGACTTCCTGAAGTTACTTTGAGTTATTTGCCATCCTACCTAAGGCGCTTCCCTGCAGGGTGGAATGTTTCAGTGTCAAAGCAACTGTTCCACAGCAGAGATGGGGGGGGGTGCACATACAAGCAAACAAGATCTTTAGCATTCCGTATTCATGTACACATGTGTGAATGCACATGCATCTACACATATGTGAACATACATGAACACGGTCACACACATGCAAAAAAGGAAAAGAAAGGTGTCTTGGCTTTACATAATGTTAATAATATATGACTTTAGCAGAACTTTTTGCCATGATGTACACAATTTCTAGAAGAGTCTAGAAGAAATCTCAAGGGATTTCTGGAGCTCTGGAAGTTAGCAGGAACGTTCCCCAAACCCACTCAGTTGCTATAATTGCTGCATCTCAATTGCAAGAACCCAAATTCACTTTGAGATGAGCAATATTTGATATTCTGAGAGTAGGTCTCAGGGCTAGACTTTTGAAGCAGGATAAGAGCCTTAAATATGAATAGCAGTTGGTATTTTTTTATCTTCCAAATCTATCCTTTATATTCTTATTTTGAATGAACCCACAGTTCTATATTCTCACCTGTGTTAAACAGAATTTTACAAGGACGGATTTTCAGATCACGACTGTGAAGAATGCTGCTGGGACATGGCTTTTCTGTCATGGAACAAGTTGTCCACTCCTCGTCCAGAGTAAAACCAGTAAGTTGGCTTAGGACTCCATTAGTCCCAGCACTTGGGAGGCAAAGGCAGGCAGATACCTGTAAGTTAGAGTCCAGCCTAGGCTACACAGTTAAGTTCCAGGCCAGCCAGGGCTATAGTAAAACCCTGTCTCAAAAAAAAAATAATAATAATGATAAACGCAAAACCCAACACACAAACAACAAATGACTGAGGAGGGCAGATGCTGCACTTTCTTTGGCTCCGAAGTTGAAGCTAGATAGGCTGCTTGTCAAGTGCTTCTATCTGATGTTGGCCTGGCATCGTATCCCAGGGCCTTCAGAATTCAAAAGAAATGAAACAGCTCATCCAGGATCTTCCCTGGAGACCGAGAGATCTTCACTGTCATTTGCTGGTGCGTGTTACATGCCTGACTAACTCAGAACACCACAACTCTGACTCTGTCCCACCTGAGCTCATAAGCCTTCCATGATTTTCTAGGCCTAACCTCTGACTCTTTAGCCTGGAATGTCACTCTGTCACACTGTAGCCCAGGTTGGCCTATAACTATGTAATCAAGCTATGTAACCCAGGTTGACCTCAAACTTATGGTAATCCTCCTATCTCAGCTTTTCAGGTGTTGGGTTAACAGGCACAAACCACGGTATTCAGTCAACTAAGATTTCCTTTCTTTCTTTACCCTCTCTTTCCCTTTATTTTTCCTGCCTGATTTTCAGTTTTCAGATTGAATGCAATGCCTATCAAAATTCCAAGTGGGCTAATAGAATGAACAGGCAGTTTTCAAAAGAAACAAATGGCCAGTAACTGTTTTGAAAAGTGTTCAGCATCCCTAATTATAAGAGAAATGCAAATTATAGCTACTTGACATACAACCTCACCCCATCGAGAATGGTTTTCATCCAGAAATCTAACTAAAAAAAAAAAAAACACTGGAAAAGAGGTGAGGAAAGAGGAACCTTGATTCTTCGTGGGAGTCCAAACGAATAGAGCCATTGTGGACATCAATTTGAAGGTTCCTCAAAGTAATTCAAAATCAAACTGCCATATAACACAGCTGTTCCACTACTGGGCATATATCTAGACAACCCCATATTCTACCATAATGACTTTTATAGATCCACGCTTATCACCACTCCATCATGGCAAGGAGATGGGACCAACCCAGGTGTCCACCAACAAATTAATGGGGAGCAAAAATGCACTGCATATAGACAAAATGGAACGTTACTCATCTGTAGAGAAAGATGACATCTATAGGAAAAATGGGTGAGCTGGGAAAGCATATTAAGCAAATGACCCAAACTCAAACAAACTGCACGTTCTGCCTCTCATAGGTGGGGGCTAGCCTATAGTGTGTGCAGGCATATATGCAAAGAGCTGCACGGGTAAGGGTAACATTCAGAAAGACCAAGGAAGGGTAACATTAGGTGATGACCAGGGACAGAATGCAGGGAAAAGGACACGTGAGCCATGAAAGAGGACACAAAGCTTTGGGTTTTTGTTTCTTTGCTGTTTGTTTTGGTTTTTTGTTTTTGTTTTCTAGTTTCAACTCTCGTGGTTTCCTTATTTTGTTCGTGGGTAAGTATATAAAAATGTAATTGACAGTCAAAGTAGAAAACCTGAAGTATGCCAGCGGTAGTGGCACACACCTTTAGTCCCATCACTCTGGGGGGCAGAGGCAGGAGGATCTCTGTGAGTCTGAGGCCAGCCTGGCCTGCATAGTGAGTTCCAGGACAGCCAGGGCTACCCAGAGAAACCCTGTCTCAGAAAAGACAGGAAAGCAAGACAAAACAACAAACAAAAAACCCTGAAGTGAAGCTGCATGACGTCAGAATAGCCGTTCTAACCTGTGGTATACGGGGTTTGGGACTGGGCAAATGTGTGTTTAGTGGTGTTCTCTGGGTGATGCTTTGTTTGAGAATTAATTACAGTACAATGACTTTATTGAATAAACAAATAAGGTCTTTTTAACATATTTAAAACTTCATGTTGTTTGTTTTGCCTCTGCTTTAGGTTTCTTTGTTCCTTCTTTGTTCCTGCAACTGCTGTTGAACTTGGCTTGTGGTTTCCCTTTACAATGGGCCCAAATACCATCCCTGACAAGCACCCCTGGGACATCTGCATAGATTTATTAAGTGCTCTCATAAGTGATAGATAACCCAATTTTATTCTCAGCATGGAATACTTCACCTCTGAGAGTTGAGCTATGTGAATGTCTGGCTACCAACACCCAGATGTCCACCAGATGCCTGAACGCTCTGATTTAACTCCATTCTGGCTCGGGAAATAGAATAATGACCCAAAGGTGTTATTCAGACCCATGATCACTCTTCCATCAGATGTCAGTCACTAGGGTGCCAGCTAGATGTCTGTCTGACTAGGCATAAATTGGGGGTTCCCATGACCTCTACTTTGAGTTTGATTAATTAGCTACATCCTGTCACGGAACTTAGGGAAATACTCTGTGACCCTGCCCAGTTTAGTATAAAGGTTAAAAACCAGGTGGAAGAAATGATAGGCTAACATGGGAAGTGGCCCAGAGCCTTTGTGCCCTCTCTGGGCATGCTACCTCCCAGAAAACTCTTCATGTGAAATCACCTTTGGGGGATTTGTGGAGGCTTCACTAAGTGGACGTGGATTTTGATAACACCGGTGGCTATTGGTGATCAACCCAGGCCTCAGTCCGTACCCTACCAGAGTTCCGGGAGACTCTGATCACGTGGTTAGTTCTCCTGAGGCTCTTCAGGAATCTACCCAGAGTCACCTCATTAAAACAAAAAATTCAGTCACTCCGAGGAATCCAAGGAATTTAGAAGTTCAGTGTCAAGAAGTGGGCCCAAGGACCAATTCTTAGAACAAAACATTTTTCCCTACAAGGGTTCTAGGAGTCCTGCCTGGGAAAACGGGGCAAAGACCGTATATAAATGTATGCCACAATAGCCTCCTTACACATACACGCTAGTGCCCCAAGGTGGGACCCATTCTGTCACAGCCAATCACCGCATCCCCACTGCATTGCCCAGAACGCTCTGTGTTCTCGTGTTCACGCCTGCCATCCTTGCTGTTGAGGGCTCTTTTGCTTGCTGTTCTTTGTCTAGAGGCCTGTACCTGCCAACTTCCGTCGGATCACTGCTTACCCAATTTCTATGTTCCTGAAGATAGCCTTCCCAGACTGTTCCATTTAGGCAGGGTCTCCTTGCTATACTTAATCTTGGCCTCTTTGCCCTTCTTTTCCTCCATTGCACTCACCCGTCCTTGCAATTGCACTTGCATACCGGCACTCTCTTGCACGTACCTGCACACAGATACATATAATTAACAATAAACCATTTAAAATATTTTGACATTCTTGAGGTCCATAGTCACAATCTGGTGTTCTTTTCCTTTAGGCCCCTTCTCTGTTATCCTGCTAGATAGATATACATTCCCCATCTGACTGTGTTAGCCCGTAGATTCCTCGTACCCCTAGGACCTCTGTCTTCTTGGGAGGGGAAGAAGAAACTGTTCTGTTAAGCGCATCCCTCCAGGTCCAGCTACCCCTGCATACCTCATTAAGTGGAAACCACAGACTGGGATGTGTGAGAGGGTCATAATGAACGCTTGTCTGAGAACTAAGATATGGAAGTAGAGACAATTGAAGGCATCTCTGAGGCCGAGCGTTCTGATGTTGACTCCCCCAGCATATTAGGGGGGAGAGGGTTGCAACCACTATTTGATAGTGTCTAGAAGCTTGATCAAGGGTCCCATTTCAACTATTCAAAGCTGGTGAGTGAACTTAGGACATTATCTCCTCCTTCTCTGTTCTGGAAGGTTTTATCATGTGTGGTGGATCTCAAATTGTGTCCTCATATTTAAGTAAATGAAGAAAAGGAAAAAAGTCAAGAAAGAAAAAATGAACAGTCTTTCAAAAAACCTAATATCACTTCTTTACACACACTTCAGAGCTCTGGACTCTAGCACAGAGGATTGGGGTATTGGAGAGGCACATTGCTGAGGCCACTGGGGTGGATCAGGAACCTATAGCGTCTCACTAGGATTTGCAGGGTCTTGGTCCCCTCTGGTCCCAGTGACACACTGGAGCCTTGGCTCACATTCTAACTAAGGATCGTAAGAGACATAGGTGCCGTGCAGCAACAGCCTGACTGAAGAACTTCTTGGCTTTGGAACAGAAACACTGGGGAAGGCACCTCTAATCACCCACTTCCAAGAAGACAGGAAGGAGTTTCAGAACAGATATTCAGAACCAAGCTTTGTCTTCAGACAGAAATCTGAATGTCACCTATAATGACAGTTATTTCTCCTGCAGACTTTTGAATGACATATAACTTCCTGACAAGGATGAAAATATAACTGTAGAACCTGTTAAAAGTTAGACAACCATGTTTATGCTAAGTAACTCCATGTCATAAAATACGAAGTCATTACTAGGGACATGAAGGGGTGACCGGCCAATATTACAAGTGTACCCTGAGTTCTCACTTCAGTGGTCCATGCCTGTAAGACTTACTCTCTGGGGAGTACCCTATTCCAAGTTCACACAACATTGTGGTGAGCTGCGTGTCCTACAGCCATCAACTACCTGTTCGAATACTTCCTTTGCTTTTCTGAAGTTGTTTGGCCTCATGAAACATACATCTCTGAGGTTTAGAGTTTCTTTCATCTGCAAAATTAAAACAGGAAATGGCAAGAAGTTGCTGTGGAGTGTGTCACTTTTCTTGTTCTATTGATAAAATAACTGGGAAAAAAAGGACAAAGTAGAAAGGCTACTGGGGTGGGGGGCATAGTGCATGCCTTCCCAACACTTGGGAGGCAGAGGCAGGGACGTCTCTTAGTTCAAGGCCAGCCTGGTCTTCAAAATGAGTGCCAGGATAACCAGGACCATATAGACAAATCCTGTCTCAAAAAAAAAAAAAAAAAAAAAAAAAAACAAAGGGGGAAAGAGGAAGAGGAGGAGGGCTTATTTTGACTCAGTTTGGGGGCCTAGTCCTAGTGGAGAAGTCACATTGGCAGAAGCATGAGGAACTGGACACATTGTATCTACAGGCTCGATAGTCAAGAGAGTGATGGATGCTGGGGTTTGACTTGTTCCCATTTCTGTATTCAATACTGGACCCCAGCGGGAGGGATGGTACTACCTACATGCCAGTTGGGCACTCCTTGCCCTTTTATTTCATGTTTTTAAGACAGGGTTTCTATGTAGCTTTGGGGCCCGTCCTGGAACTAGCTCTTATAGACCAGGCTGGTCTCGAACTCACAGAAATCCACCTGCCTCTGCCTCCTGGGATTAAAGGCATGCACCACCACCACTGCCCAGCCTACTTTTAATCCTTCATAGAGAAGTCCAGATGTGTGTTTCCATGGTGATTCTTAATCCCATCAACATGATAATAAAGATTATTTATCACATGGAGATTGACAGAAAAGTGTGTTTAAAACTCTTAGATTAGATAATGATTGACACAATAAGTATGCTTAGAGGACATCTTCTCATCCATTAAAATAATACTTGTCTTTGCAGTCAGCATCATTATCACTCTGTCTGAAATCACTGAAGAATACATCCAGTCTTTTTTCAATATGTCAGCTTACACTGTATTTGAAAATAGCTAAAAAGTCTTCAGTCCCACATTCTACTTGTAAACTTAATTCTATAAAGGCAAAAGAGTAAAGGACCTGTGTGCCTTAGGTTTTATATGATGCCCTGCGAACTAGAGAACTCAACAGTAAAATGTTTTTAATATTTTAGTAACAATGACTTTGCCTTGAAATTTTTATCCTCAAAAGAGAGATCTTAGAGTCTTAACCAAGCAAAAAGGACAATTTTTTATTTTTATATTCAAAGATAGAATTCGCTTTTGATGTATATAAAGCCATGGAGTTTTTAGTGTTATTTACTTATAGATTTGTGGTTATTTATGAGTGTGAATGTGAATCACCCCAAACCAGCAACGCTAGCTGGACGCCCCTGTTTGCTTCTGGGTGGTATTGGGTGAGTAGGCCCATCCTTAGCGATGCCTGGGGAAAGAAACTTGTCCTAAAATGTGCCTCAAGCCTGTCAGCCGCCAGCTGCAGGCCATGCCCTCCACATGCCTCCCACTGATGATTCTCAGCATCCTGAGAATCTTGGCTTTGCCAAATCAGGGGCTTGGGACATATCCAGCTGCCTACACTGAGGAGTTAAAACCATGTCTGGTCCGTTTCATGCTGATTACTGGCCTGAAGGGATATTCTACTATTTTGTTAGAGAATAAAATCTAGCTCTTCTCAGTGGGCTTAATTCCCTGCAAAGACATCAGGCCAAGTCTTCATTAAACCGTTGAACACTTGTGGGGTCGGGGCACTTGCCCTCCCTGCAGTGGCTGGCAGAAGTTAGGCTACAATGTGTGGGATTCTGGTAGCCTTTTGTTTGGTTTCTAGGGTTCTGACTTTAGCTAGATATTCTGTGTGGAGAGGAAGGAAAATGGCTGGTAACTCTAGTGGAGTAGTTTCCTCATGGTTCCCTTCTTTCCCTCTGCCCCATGGCTGGATTTAAGTACTGAGACTACCCTTGTGGTATAGCTTTGGATTTTTTTGTTTTTTAACATGATTTTATGTGCATTGGTGTAAAGGTATCAAATCCCCTGGAGCTGGAGTTACAGACAGTTGTGAGCTGCCAGGTGGGTGCTGGGAATTAAACCCAGTCCCCTGGAAGAACAGCCAGTGCTCTTAACGCTGAGCCATCTTTCCAGCCCTGACTTTGAGGTTTGTAGATCAGAGTTCATTGCTTACATTGTGGGCAGTGTGCGTGAGGGTACAGGAGAAGAATGCCTAGGAGCCTCACTTATGCTTGTCTCTGTCTGTGGCTCTTTCCTCTCCCGTCTAATAGTCCTGTGGTCCTGTGGAGCTAAATGGCATCAAACCTGGCACTCAAACATGGCATCGGCCCTGGCTCTGCCTTTTTGAGGCAGTTTCCCAGCTAGTGTCACAGGATTAGGATTGCTGTGAGAGGCTGAGTAGAGAAAGAGAGCAGAGAATAAAGACATTAGCACTAGCTTGGCATGGTGGCTTTCTCCTGAGACTCCTGAATGCAAGAGGCCAGGGAGAAGAATTGCAAGTTTGAAGCCAGCCTTGCCTATATTAGCAAGTTCCAAACCAGCCTTGGTTACATAATGGAACTTCGACTTTAAAAAGCAGGAAAAAAAAAAAGGAATAAAACACACACACACACACTCATACACACACACACACACACACACACACACACACACATCTCAGCACAGTATAACACACGACACCCTTTTCCACATTTTCAAAGATACATGGGACCAGCAGCTGCTACTGACAAGAACCCAAAGTATCAGTGGCAGTCCCAGAGCAAGTCTGTTCCAGAAGTCACTGAGAAAGGCTAGCTTTTAATCTCTGTAGAACAAGATACTGTTTTAGCCTGGCGTGCACATGCATACACACACAAACATGAACACACACACACACACACACACACACACACACACACATGCTGTGGAACAATAGTCTTATACCCTGTAAAGTTTTGTAAGTTGTACTAGTTTAATAAAATGCTGATTGGCCAGTAGCCAGGCAGGAAGTATAGGCAGAGCAACCAGAACAGGAGAATTCTGGGAAGAGAAAAGGCTGAGTCTTTAGTCATCATTCAGACACAGAGGAAGCAAGTTGAGACTACCTCGCTGATAAAAGGTGCCTATGGGTTGCAACCACTCTGAGAGTTGCAAATCAGATATCTTGCATATCTGATATTTACAGTATGATTTATAACAGTAGCAAAATCACAGTTCTGAAGTAGCAATGAAAATAATTTCATGGCTGGGGTTCATCACATGAGAATCTGTATTAAAGAGTTGCCGAATGAAGAAGGTTGAGGACCACTGTTTTAGGGGAACCAATAGAAAATGATTAGTAGGGGCTGGAGAGATGGCTCAGTGGTTAAGATCATTGCCTGCTCTTCCAAAGGTCCTAAGTTCAATTCCCGGCAACCACATGGTGGCTCACAACCATCTGTAATGAGGTCTGGTGCCCTCTTCTGGCCTGCAGACATACACACAGACAGAATATTGTATACATAATAAATAAATAAATAAATATTTAAAAAAAATGATTAGTAGACCCCAAATGTGAGCAAAAGACTTACAGCCTTTTCTACTTCCTTCCTTGCCCCAAAGTAATCATTAGGTCGCTAATTATGACTCATTTTTCAGCGGGGCCAGAAGCAATTTGTGTATAAGTCTCCCTAATCTCAGAGATTGATGAGCCCTGGAGTTGGTGCTAGCAGATGCCGAGAAAGGAGGTAACTCTTGTTCTGAAGGAGTTAATCTGGGGAAATCAAGCCAGCACACCTGAGATGATTGATTCGCCATCAATTAAATTCTAACGAAATCATGATCATGTGCTGTTGACCCCTTTAGAATTCAGTGTGGGTGAGGAAAAAGGCAAAAATGATCACTGGCTCTCCTTGGTAGCTATTTAAAAAATTGTAAAGATGTGCATGTGGTAGCCTTTTTTATTTTTAAAAACAACCAGTTTCATTTTAAGACACTTTATTATTAAATTTCATTGTAACATTAAAGAAACTACACCTACACACACACACAGTTTGTAATCTCACAACCCCTGACACACTTCACTTATCAGAGCCAAGGCTCATCTTGACTCTAACAGCCCACTCCATGCTCAGAGTGTTCAGGGAACATGAACAACCACCTCCATTATTTCGTGTTTTAAATGTGCAGGCAGTGACTTTGTAACAGGTGTCATGGCAGCACCCTTGCTTGCCATGTTCTTCCCTTCATTGTTGTGATGTATTCTCAGTGCGAGAGGTGGCTTCCTGACCGTTGGCACAGTTAAGTAACATAGCATCTTTCTTCGGTGCACATATGTTTCCATTAGGCCACAGATCCTCTGTTATGGTAAAACACTGCAGGTCCCTGAGTGGGTCACTAGACCATGGTGGGCCACAAAGGCAGCCGGTCCCAGGCAGGGAGCCATTTGGCAAGTAAGAGACAGAGACCTATAGGCATGCCATGTAGAGAAAGTGGGTATTTATGTAGTGGATTATGGAAGGGAAAGAGAAAGGGGGGAAGAGGAGAAGGGAGAAGAGCAGAAAGAGAGAGAAACAGAGATAGAGAGAGAGGAGGGAGAAAGGGGAGAAGTGGGGAGAAGGGAGAGAAACAGAAAAGAAGGAAGGAAGGAACTCGGGCTGGAAGCGGAAGAAAGATCCACTTGCTTCAGCAGACAGAGTTGGTGGGGAGTGGGCAGGGCTCATCTCTTAGACGGAAAGGACAGACCATTACATTCCCATCTCTTTTTTATAATAAAAAGCTAGGAGGGGGCTGGAGAGATGGCTCAGAGGTTAAGAGCACTGCCTGCTCTTCCAAAGGTCTTGAGTTCAATTCCCAGCAACCACATGGTGGCTCACAACCATTTGTAATGAAGTCTGGTGCCCTCTTCTGGCCTGCAGGCATACACACAGACAGAATATTGTATACATAATAAATAAATATTTTAAAAAATAAAAGGTAGGAGGTTAGGCACAACAGGTCAAAGGAATTGGGGTGGCAGATTCTCAAGACTACTTCCTGCTTATCTGTGGGCATCATCTTAGAGGGAGAACCTGAGAAAGCTGGGTGCTAGTCACATCCTGGGGTAACTGGTCTCTTTGTTCCTGTCCAGTGTTTGTGATGTGGAAATACATGGTATCTCTTACAACTGTTTAAGATATTGGCAGAAGCCAGGTGGTCCTGGTGCACACCTTTAATCCCAGCACTCAGGAGGCAGAGGCAAGCTTATCTCTGTGAGTTTGAGACCAGCCTGGTCTACAAGATCTAGTTCCAGGACAGGCTCCAAAGTTACAGAGAAACCCTGTCTTGAAAAAAAAAAAAAAAAAAAGGATATTGATATTGGCAGAACAGAGGACAAAATTAAGTTTTGGAAAAAATATTTAGGACCAGGGAATTGAGAGGGTTGTATCTGACCTGTTTAAGGTGGATCCTTCAATTCAGCTCCCTGAAACTCACAAGAATTTTTTGGGTTTGTGAAAACATAAGTTTTAAACAAATACATTGTATAAACAGTAGCATATTTATGTCAGAATGACTATGACAGATGTTTTTGTATAATGAAAAGTATCTTTAAGACTATGGGAGGCAGGGCTGGAGAGATGGCTCAGTGGTTAAGAGCATTGCTTGCTCTTCTAAAGGTCCTGAGTTCAGTTCCCAGCAACCACATGGTGGCTCACAACTATCTGTAATGAGGTCTGGTGCCCTCTTCTGGCTAGCTGTATACATAATAATTAAATAAATTGATAAATATTTTAAAAAAAAGACTATGGGAGGCAACGAGAGAGAGAGAGAGAGATTTGGTAAGTTGTATTTGTCCTCACACCTTTATAACTTGCAGGTACACACCTTAATAACTTATATTGGTATTTTACTGAAATATGTTTGGTGAGGTTGTCCTTTTAAACATTTCCATTGTTAAACTGCATAAGAGATCTTTGAAAAGGATAAAATTTTACTTGAGTTATTGATTAAAAAATGACAGAGAACTTACTTGGTTGGCACCTAGAGCCCCTCCTCAGGGTCTTCTATGGTCACTGAGGGTCGTATTTTTTCTTTTGCTGTTTAGTGCAGGGCCTGCCAGACTCCAGAAGATCCTGTGGGCTAAGAAATCTGTAGGAAGACAAGCCTACCTTGACCTGGGCAGCTAGGTCAATTCCAATGATTCTGTCCACTGTCTGGTGATCTTCAGTTTAGATGAAAGGCAGTTTTGCCTGGTGGTCAGTGCTTGGCAGTTGAAGACAATTTCAGATGGACATTGTTTTAGGGCACAGTGAAGGTTGCCTGGGATAGGCCCTCCCTCCCACCATGCCTGAGTCCTGTTCGCATTTCCCGTTCCCCACCTGAGATGAAAGCTGCCTAACCGCGCAGAGAGCATTCTCATCAGGACGTGTCTGTGCCAGCAGGTTGTGTAGCTTCTGCC